GCCTATTTAAAATACAAAAATAATATATATTAATATATTTAATATATATAATTATATTAATAATATATTTAATATTTAGGTCTATTGGCCTACTCAGGCTTCTATGCCTACGCCTATCTATAGATATGGTCGGAATATGTCATGTAAATAGATTTTTAAGTAATATTAGACTTTTTAAATAGAACAAATCAAATCTTAAAAAAAAATTTATAACATGTAAATAAACCAAACTCAAACTTATTAATTTTATTATAGATTAAACTTATTATACGGTCAAAATCTAACCATTTTTCAATCTATTGATGCTTCAATCCTCAAATTTATACAGATAAATTAAAAGTAAAGTATTTATTAGTAAATATCTAATCCTGAAATTTTTGTATTTGGATAAAATAATAACTAATTTTCAATCTGGAAATACTCTAAAATAAATATTGATTATTTTTTCCTTTTATAGAGATTTGCTTTAAAAAATTTAGTAGTCAAGGAGATATTCTTTCACAAATTATCCAAAGTCTTCTTACCTATATGCTCTTTTCTTAATGATTGAATGTTTCAAATTAATATCTATGTTACCATTCAATTTTTTATGATAAAATGTTTGATTCAGAAATTACAATCAATAACAGCATCAAAGTTAAAACTTACAATTTTGTATATATTATCTAAGTATTTTATTCTTATAAGCGAATTCTAGTGGTTGATAATGATATAAATAGATGTGTGATATGTAAAAGTTTTTTAAATTTATCATGTTTTAATGCATAATAAAGAAAATATGAGGATTTTGAGTTGATAGAGTTAAGTGTGTGAACAACACATGAGATGACCATAAACTCTCAAGGGTGGAATACATAAATGCATAAATATTGGAGCAGAAGATATACATGAATGTTGATAGTGAATGCAATTATTTTTTATGATTGGGAGGGTACCCCAAAGAAAGCGTGTTAATAAATAAGTATGTTGTTGTTAGACACGTACGTTTGCAACAGATGGATGTGGTTGCTTCACAATAAGCTCAAATGATATCTCTTCCTTATCCTTTCCTAGCTCCACGTTGGAGTACCATTCACATCTTCAAGATTCTTTGACCAATCTCTCCAATTTCAGCACATGAATAATTAATACACTACTCATTCACATGATAGGGACTTCTCAATTTGCCTCTTTCACTTCTAAATAAAACGCATGTGTTATGAATAGAAATTATGCCATATCATGCAGATATTGCTGTATTTTTACCCCCCCAAATGCTTTAAAGAACTAAATTCTTATATATATATATCCCTTGAGCATGTAATCAGTGGTTCGAGTCCTGTATAAAAAACTTGTAAGAGTGATGAAAAATCAATTCTTTAACTAGATCTTAGTACCAGAGAGATTAATTTTTAGCTTTAGATTAAGATATACCTTGATTTACTAGTTGAGAAGTGAAAGAAGTAAATCTTAATTAATAGTATAATTTGAATAATTAGTTAAAATTAAAATGATTTTGATGATTAACACAACGTAATATTGTTAGGAGATAACATTATTCTTTTAAGCTTTTTTTATTACCCATTATGTTTTGTTTTATGTTATAAGTGTTTTAATATGTAGTAGTAATATTGTAAGCTTTTTTTTATCACTTCTTGTAA